TATATATATGGAGTTCAATCGCATCTGTCAACCAATCATTCAGTTTTCATAATTCATTATATCTTTCACTTAATGGTACGAAAATCCCTTAACATCTGATGCAGAGAGTAATGAATGAATGAATGGAAGCAACGTTTTTCAAAAAAATTATTAAAATATTACAATAAAAAAAAGAAATAACTTTTAAAAATGTAAAAAATTGAATAAAAATTGTAATTAAAAAAGAATTGAAAAAATGATTGAAAAGAGAATTGAAAATTAAGAGAAAAACTGAAAAATAAGACACAAAACGGGAGCACTTCTGCATCAGTTTGTAGGGAAAGACTTTCTGTTTCTCATTTCAGGTCAAAGTGTAATTAGAGTACAGTAACTGTGGGCACACGTATCACAACAACCGGTGCTCTTGAGTAAATAAGTGAATCGACGATATTATAGGAAAACTTATTTATTAATGGATTGTTTTTCGATAATAAAATTAAAGGTCTTTATTGACAAAAGGATGGGTCGTTGTTGTTATGGCTGTGGATGTGGTGAGTGATGGCGAGGGCGCCTCCCTGTACGAAGCGGACAAAGTTGTCGCCAACGATTGGTCCCATAGCGTAAAGTCCCGGAGAGGCCAGACTTTCGTGAGTATATGAGTTGATGGCTATTGGGTTAGATCGGGGATCAATGCCTACGTTTTTCTTGATTCCCAGATCTGCTAATAGACTCTTAGATTTGATGAAATTGAGGTTTGGTTTCATTCCGATGAGCACCAGTACGTATGAGACCTTCACTTTGACACAAGTGGTAAGTTGCGTGTCGTCGACGCCAATCATGTTTAAGAGGAGAACCTCTTTATTAGCTTTGATTTCTTTGACACAATGCATGGCTAGCGGTTCGTAACCACAGCTGGACGTAAACTTTCCCTTCATTTTCGAGTGAACGCAATGGTATTCCGGATACATATTCTCCGGCAACTGATTGAATATGAGCGACGGGTCCTCCGGATGCCTCCGAAAGGCGTGGATTGTGGGCACTCTTCTGAATCTGGTGGCAATGACAGCGTCGGCTGCACTCAGACCGGCGCCGACTATTAGGATAGGATCTGAAGAAGGCTTTACTTTGGATTCTGCTATAAGTGTTTCCAATTCGTTAAGTGAATGCAATACAAACGGCAGGTCCTCTCCGGGAACATTCATACGGTTGACGCGATCACAGTTNTGCACTCAGACCGGCGCCGACTATTAGGATAGGATCTGAAGAAGGCTTTACTTTGGATTCTGCTATAAGTGTTTCCAATTCGTTAAGTGAATGCAATACAAACGGCAGGTCCTCTCCGGGAACATTCATACGGTTGACGCGATCACAGTTACCGGTGGCCAACACTACTCGGGGGCTCATGTAATGGAAGTGATTGCCGTTGGAGTCGTGGCCATCGATTCGGTATTTATTGGTTTGTTCGTCGAATTCAAGTGAAGTGACGGAAGAGAAGTGTTTAAAGTTTTTCATTAAACCTTTCGTTTTGACGTAATTGTTATAATAGTTGGCGACAGTCGACAGGCTCACTCTGCTCTCCCTCCTATGCTCTGAACACCAGTTCCTTATATCCATGTCCGGCAACTGCATCCAAGAGCCCAAACTTATTGTAAGAATTTCTTTGCAGTCGTTCATTGAATGCCAGGCCCCGCCCGGAAGTCCTTTGCCGATCACCACGTGATCTACAACTTTGTCTGAGCGGTGTCTCCACTCGAGTGTCGATGGATTCTCGAAACCGAAATCAGCTTCCGGATGGTTTAAGTGGTCGAACAGAACCGACACTTTATTGATGGAACGGCCTTCCAGTCCATCGCTCAGCATTTCTAAGTCCTGTTCCACTAATGACTTGTTTAACTCGCTTTCATCGGTGAGCCGCCGGTGCAGATATTCGTTGGGATGCGATTGACTCGTGTAATAAGGCCAGTGGCCGGACAGCATATAACTCAAGCTTATAGCTGACGGCCCGTTGCCTATAATCACCACTTCTTTATTGATGTACGAATCCATTGATGAGAATTGACTGTAATTCGGGCGATACGAGTGTCGGCGCGAATCAGAGGAATGGGAGGCACAAGTAGTTGAGAATGACTTATATTTGAAGGCAATACCAAAAATCTTTAGTTTTTCCCAAAACCAGTCATTTATCACATTCTAGTTTAATATGAATACCAATGCTATCGCACTTCAAATCCGACTCAACACTGCAAATGAAATAAAGTCTTATTAAATACTTTTATTGAATAACTTTTACATGAAATTGGAAATTAGAAACTTATATCAAATTCATTACATTATGTTTGTGTTTGTCATCTCAATCACTAAATCACTGATTAGACGCTTAGCCGCTAAGAAGTCCTTAAAATTATTCTGTTCTGTGGATGACTTGTAACTCAATATCCATTCAAATAACTTAAGTCAAGAACACATGCCTTTAGGTCTTATTATTTTAGTTTTCATGTCTCGTCTAATATGAAATCAATTGCAAATTATGTTCAATACTGACAAATGTTTGAAAAAATTTAGATTCCTCGCTCAGATTATTATTGGCTTTAATCATAATTTGTGTTAAATATTAGTATTTATTTTAGGAATAACTTAAATATGGTTTTATCATTAGGATCGCAAATAAAATACTTGAGATCTGTTTCCCATTATAAATAGCATTTATTTTATAACACTTGTTGTTTTCACATTTCTGTTACTTAGTCTTTAATTATCTATTATTTGGCACCAAATCTTCAAAACAAATCAAATATTAATTCAGATTTTAAGGCCATATTTACACACTTTTCCATTAATATTTAATTCAATGATTTTCCAGATCTGTTACTTAGTCTTTAATTATCTATTATTTGGCACCAAATCTTCAAAACAAATCAAATATTAATTCAGATTTTAAGGCCATATTTACACACTTTTCCATTAATATTTAATTCAATGATTTTCCAGTGGTTTTTTGATACAAATATTTTTTCATTAAATAATTTATAAATTACACCATAAATGCACGTGCAATCACTACAATATTAGATAAATTATTATTTTATCTAACATTTTAAAGTATTTTAAACAAAATACATTAAACATACATTTTTTATCACAAGTTTCTATAATTGAACTATTTTACAATAAATTATAAGTTTCTAGGTGTAGACTTTATTTGTGAGTTTAATATTGCAAGTGTAGTATAAATGTATTAAATTTATAAGTACAGTACAACTGAAATCTGAAATTTAATTGATTTCGTGAATCCTTGAACTAATGCCAACTTGTGATGCAATACAAGATACGGAAAAGTGATCTCAAATGCGGCTTATTTTTGGGACTCCACTCATACAACAAGTCACTCATCCTATTGGGAGCGTTACTCTATTTGTCACACTTTTGAAGTTTTAATAGATTTTAAATAGGGTATCAAATGTTATGAACAAATATAGTCTAACAAATATGCATTTATATTATTATTGTTTAATTCTTGTAAATATAAGCCTCAAGGAAATTAATATCATAAATATGCGCTATTAGTAAATTAATTAGTTTCATAACATCGATGAGAATTTTGGTTCATTTTATCAATTGTTTAGGAAATGAGTGTTTTTGCAGAAAAAGCATTGAATGGTTTATATTAAACGGATATTAAACAGATATTGCAATTAATAATTAGTATAATTAATTAATCGCACATGA